GTCGGGAAGGCTAAAGACTCTGCGTAATTCTCATAGCAAAGCCTTTGCTTAATGGACCACGTCTATGATAAAACAGGCCTACTGTCAGCTCTAGTCTCCGCTGAGTCTATCCTGTTTCTATCCCTAATAGCAAGTCTATTACTTCCTATGCCATAGTCTCTTGTGTGCCGACCCACAAATGCTGTGCTACTGCTTGCTTTGATAAGGTTAAATGTTGAACCACAACATTTGTGAATCGGCACACAAGAGACTAAGGCATAGCAAGTCATACACTTGGTATTCCGGATAGAAACAGAATAGACGCGGCGGAGACTAGAGCTATTGCGCTAGCAATAGACGTATTCGATGATAGACGTGATCCATGAAGCAAAGGCTTGACTATAAGACTTACTCAGAGACATTAGCTTCGAGTTAGTCACCCAGACACAGGGGAGGGGTAATAACGCCTCGAGTAGCACATATGGGATGGCAGAGGTCGACTGAAATACTTGAACCAGGGAGGTAGCAGATGGATCATACGGGGCAAGAGGAAGACTGTGATAAAACCTATGGAAGGAGGACTGCGTACAATATGGTAGTCTGATCAATATTCCTAGCGCAAGGCAAAAGGGGGGTGAGAACGCCAGCTTTAAGTGTTAAGTGTTCTCCTGAAGCCGCTTAAAAAGGCACATCATACTATATCTAAATAAGCAAGGAAAATATTGTGACAGTGATTGCGCGATACGAGAATATAGGAAATTTGAATAACCCAGTGCAGAAGGGGAGATACCACAACTGTTTAGCACACGTTTGGTCAAAGGATCGGCCTCGCTTGTCTCTGACGGGTTGTAGTGTGGTGCTAAGACTGGCAAGACTCACTGTCGATGCCAGCGAAACGTCTGGGAATGTGCCACATTCATGGTCCGGCTCTGGAAATGATGATGCATACAATGGACTTTGGATTACGTGCGTTCCTCTAAGTCTTCCTACCAATATGACCAAGTTGTTAAAACAAGGTCAAACAAGTTCTAAAAAATATTTCAGATGTTATTTTCACTCCAAATACTTAAAATGCAACCGAAAATTTAGATGGATAAACCAAATTAATCTTGGTGATATAGATTATGTTGCATTATGAGGCGTTTTAGATGCAAAAGATGAATGCTAATGTATATATGGTGGATGTATCGGCCTGAATAGAATCAGTCGGCAGGAATTTTATAGTTTCGATCTATCTAGAAGTGTAGATCTAAGTTATGATATATAAATGGCTGTTTCTTATCTATGGCACAACGAGCAAAAAAGATCTATTCTACAAAGCACAAACTTTTTGACAGTGAGGATATTGCAGGAAACTCCAGAATAGTGGATGGCGGGCTCTATAAAATGTATAGGCCGGAAAAAAGTACCGAAACCTTACACAAAAACAGAGTAGAAACCACTAGGAATATTAGTTAGTGCCGTTGTAAACATAGTATATGAAATCCGAAATATTCGTAATAAAGCTACCAGTTAGAGAGACTATAATTACTAGGATACACTTTATGAAAAAAAGGGATTAAATAGGATTCAACTGAATAAATACATGATTATGTGAGCCCAGACTGCTAGGCAAATCTGAAGCTGTAGAGATTACATCTAGATCAAACCCAACGACCAATGATTGAACAAGAATATAAAAATTGTATCGATAAATAGAAAAATAGATGTAGATCTCAAATTAAGTCAATATTTACGCTCAGAAACTACATAAACTATTATAAGCACTTCAATAAATACCCTAGCTCACAAATTTAGGGAGTACCTATCGCAAAATGTGTAAATCTTTTTTGAAAATCCAAACTTAATGTACGCATCGGGCAGTTTTATGGTAAGAGGTACTGTAAGAATTTTTTAATGCTACAATTTTTGATGAACCACTTTGGAAGGAGTTCTATAGGTCCGATTAAAACCAAATAATCTAAAATGGATTTCAAGATAATCAAAAGATAAGATAAAGAAAGTATAAATTAAGGCTGAAGAAGAAGAGTTATAGATTTCAATTCTGAACAAACACCCATTAATCGAAGATATGAAGATCAAGATGATGTGGCCTTTCGTTGTATGGAAGTTGTCTGACCTTATTTGCGCAACTTGGTCATATTGACAGGAAGGCATAGAGGAACGCACCTTGTCCGGAGTCCGTAGAATGCATGATATTGTTTAGAGTTGGACCGTAGAGTTGGTACATCCCCAGACGTTTCTCCGGCATCATAGTCGGTATCGTCCGACTCTGGAAATCATTATGCATAATATGGACTCCGTACAAGGTGCGTTTCTTTAGGTCTACCTGCCAATATGACCAAGTTGCGGAAACTAAGTCAGAAAATGTCTAAATATCCATTAATTTTACAATCTAATGAAAACAAGTCAATTAATTAATTATAAAACGCCAGAAGATAAGAGTAAATACCTACATTAGACATTAACCAGTCACCAGGCGGCTGGCCAGTGGAAATTTGCCCACAGGAATGGCAGGTAAATTGACAGGGATTAACGGCAACGTCGTTTATATTGTTGCAACCCAGAGGAGAGCCGAAAGAAAGAATGGGAGTATCCCCACCTGGTGGGCCTGATAGCATACTGATTGGATGAGCGATGGGAGAGTGATGACCATTATCTTCACCTGAGCTACTTTTTGAAGAAACGTTGTTGCCACCGCTAATATCATTGTTCTGTTTGCTGATGCCAGTGACTGAATTCGGCGATAGTGCATTGAGGCAAGCAGGGCAAGCTTCTCGTCTTGAAATGATTGGAAGGTTGATAAGGGTAAGAAAGAAAATTAACTCTTCCTAAAGCGCTAAAAGCAATTAAAGACCTTAAGAGGCGAATCGCGATGACGATGAAGAAGTTTGGAATATTAAAATGCTTTGACCATAAAATTAGTCAAAGAAACGTGCCGAGTGAAGAAGAGAAAGTGGTTCAAGCAATATACAATGTTAAATAACGTCAAAGGGAAATCTACCCATTAAAATGGCTTAAGAGGTTCCAAACCTTTGATCAAAGCCAAACTAGTTAGCAAAAGGTGGTCCAAAAAAGTAAATTAACTGACCCTGAGAGTCAAATATATAAAAGAAATTTGTGTTCCTGAATCAATTAACTATGCATGTAGCATGAACCTAAACAGAATAAATTATATGAAATAAGGAAAAACATGGTGTGGTGGTTTGGTTCCTAAAGGTATAGTATAGAGCACGTGGAATGAGATCGAAAGGTAAGATCGTTGAAGAAAGAATGTATAGTAAAGGCTTTATAGATTCGAATGGTGCGCACATCTATTTGTAATAGTGTTTGTGTAGTTCGGTGCATGGAAGTGATTGGGTGAGCGAAAGAGAGAGCAACAACCATTATTTAAAAAAAGGGTTGGTACGGTAATCTGAGATTGTAAAGCTTTAATGGGTACTGCTGGATATCGGAGAGCAGTGTCAGGATTCTTCACGAGTAATCCGTTGAAGCAAAATACTACTGAATAAACATAGATGTGATGCTTCGCGTGAGGAAGCGGAGACTAGTGGGTGGGTGGTAAGTTCAGGTTCAACGAGCAGGGAGGCATTTGCGTTTTATAAGTAGGTTTTCAAGACCTACTTACAATTCACGTCTGCACTGACCCAATGGCACTTGTGGCAATGCAGTATAGTGGTTACTGTGTAGACACAATACGCTGCACTCACAATCCTGGTTTAACTCCCGCTGATGATGCTGAGGCTGTGCCTAGACGAGGCCGAAAATGCAGTCCATCCTGAATTATATCTTTTGGGAAGCAAGATCATGTGAAATTCAATGGAAAGGTGAGGCCTATTCATATCATTGTGGGCAAATTAAACTAGCAATCCTTCGTTATATTAAACGAAATAGAGTGAATACGTCTCATAAATGTATCCGGGAAGAAGTCAGCAAACAATCACGGTGCCATTTAAAGCCTGTGTGAATAATGAGTGATCTTTTTGCGAGAGGAGGAAGCTAGTGATAAAAAGCCTGCCGTGCAACGTGATATATTCGGTTTCAAGCCTCGAAAGGGGGAATAAGTTCAACGTCATGTAATAAGGCTAAACAAATGCAATAAAAAGGAGGCCCCTACAATAAAATGAATTGAATGTCGTGGGATCCCATAGTACCCATTCGAGGCTAAAGGAGAGAAAAGTTCGAGTGTCATGAACTAAGTGGGTATATTAAAAAGTAGATTATATGGTAAATAATCACAGATAAAAACGGCATAATTAATAAGTTCACGTTAGCGTACCTTTAATTTTTGTTAAAAAAGCGACACTTGTAAAGTGGCCCCACCAGAAACCGAAGAATTACCATAGGATTGTAACATGAGCTTGCGTGAAAAAATCAAAGACCCTGATGATGATGAATAATCGCCTATCATGCAAAAGACGTCATGTCGTGATCGGAAAACAGCATCCTTATCTAAATTATTGGTATTTATGATCATATAACGTTTACATATGTCTGATACTTTGCCCATATGCTGTGTGCCCACGATGTTCATAAATCATGTGAGGTGCGATGGTCCTAACAAGATTAAAGACTTCTCAAGCCTCTTCATAGTATTCATAGGTACTTCCTGCTTGAGTAGTCTCGAATTTGATTGGGGCTCTTTCATGTTACACAACTCATAAGCAGTGAATGCACACAACACATGTGTAGACAACCACAATTGATTGTCAGAATTGCAGGATCAAAATTCTGATGACTTATATGAGGATAATGTCGTCCAATAAAAACCAAAGCCACTTCACTTATCTGTAAAAATATAGAGAAAGCATGAAGTATTCAGCTAAATCAAAAGAAACCTCTTTAATTTTACAAAGTCAGTATTGCAGTAGGCCGCCTTGTTAGCTTTAAGCTTAGTATGATTTCATAAGTCATGGTTTCACGCTCTGACGATATCCTTCACGCGAGGAGCTGAGAACAGATTAATCGAGAGGATGAGCAGGAGTATTATTCAAGCAACCACCCAATCAACACTATAAAGTAATCTTCCTGCTTTTGCCGCTAGGACTCGTTTACAAATACTTTCCACATGCCCTTTTAACATAATAAAAGGTACACTAACATTAATCAGCAACAAAGAATCTTTTGAGCCCAGCCTCGGTTCATATAATATGTTCCTTTATTCAGAATGCAATAGAGGCTATGATAGTGTAAAATAGAACTTACTTAAAAACCAAGGAATTCGCGCCAGCATCCGAGATGCATACACGCCCATCTCCTAAAAGATCAACGGAGAAAGGTCCTGGGTCTCTGGGCAAGGCAAAATTGCCTTGCCTAACGGTTTGACTGATAGGAGAGTGAAGTTTAAATAGGCGATTCAGCCAGGAAAATATAAAGGAGGGAAGAAAGCGACGAACTCGACAGGCAAATGATGCGGACAATCGACTTTTTCTTTGGTAATTCTCTGAAATATAATGTCAGAGTGATAATGAGTTCAATAGATAAGGCATGCAACATTCCACTTCTGAAGTGTTATAGTGGAATAAAGACAACAAATATTGAATAAAAAATACCTGCTACATCCGCATACTCTCTCAAGGGATCAGTATAAAGGCCATAACCCCTATTAGGACTTGAAACGGTATCCATTTCATAACTGGCGTATGCCCCAATGTAGTCATCTTGGACTGACCTCTGGGGCTGCCTTCTACGTAGTTTGCGTTCTCGGGCCTTGTAGCAGAGAGATACAACGCATAAAGCAATAACGAGGAGGAAGAAAAGAGCTAGAAGCGGTAGTAATATGGCTAAGAAAGGGAATTCTTTGGAATAAGACGCCTTCTTAGTGTTAATAGGCGAAGTCATGGCCATCTGAATTTGAAATGGATCTGGAATTTGCAAAAATAAACAAATTAATCCAGGTATGCAAACAATATAAAAGAATTGCATAACAATAAGTGAATCGACGCTTACCAATGACGAATTATAGCAAATAAGTACCCTTTTTCTATATTTTTCAATCAACTAAGCCCTATACATTTTATCAACCGCCTTTCGAAAATGAAATGCCATGTCGGATGTATTATGGGTGAGGTTCATCTAACCGTTGAGATTTATTAAAAGATAAGGAATCTAAATGTTTTTTACATAGTTGTGATTTATTGTTTTGATTGAAAACATTTATAGCAACCATAAAGTGGTTGTGGCCCGCTTCTATTAACCAAGGTGGTATAGGGCCTTAACCATCGACCAACAACCATACTTAGTTTAAAAGTTGTTTGACCTTGTTTTCGCAACTTGGTCATATTGGTAGGAAGACTTAGAGAAACGCACCTAGTACGGAGTCCATTGTATGTATCATCAGTTCCAGAGTTGGACCGTGGACGTGGTACGTTCTCAGATGTTTCGCCGGCATCATCAGTGAGTTTTGCCATTCGTAGCACCATATAATAACTAGTCAAAGCGACAAGTGACTGGTGAACATCCCCAGCACAAGGGTGAAGGGGATGATAACGACAGTGTGGATTGTAAAAGGGTTTTCATGAATGCCGCTCGAAGGAGCAAACCAAACTACATTTAAAAAAATTGTGACAGGGTAGGCATGATAGGAGGATATAGGAAATGTGAATAGGCCAGGGCAGAAGAGGAGATACCATAACTGTTTAGCACACGTTTGGTCAAAGAAGAGGCTTCACTTGTCTCTTTGACGAGTTGTAATATGGTGCTACGAATGGCGAGACTCACTGACAATGCCGGCGAAACGTCTTGGAATGTACCACGTCCACGGTCCTACTCTGGAAACGATGATGCATACAATGGACTCCAGTTTAGGTGCATTCCTCTAAGTCTTCCTACCAATATAACCGAGTTGCGAAAACAAGGTCAAACAACTTCTATACAACGAAAAGAGACTGCGACCACACAAAAGGCCATACCATCGTGGTCTTCATACTATACTTAGTTTAGTTAATAGGCAAGGCACTGCAGGTAAATAATGCTTCTTTAATAACAGAGCAATCGAGCGCACATTTATATGCATTTTAACAGTTAAAAGCAAGCCGAACACCACTATAAGTAAGACGAAGTGGAGTAATCGAGAAATGCTATAAAGAGACTAACGCCTGCCTTGGTCAATCTCGACCAAAAATTCAACAAACCATCTCCTTGACATTATTGCGCTGAATTCGTAAGAAACAAGAACAACTTTAATTAATTAATTGGGAAAAATGACTTAAACCTGAGAATGCAATTAATGCAGGCAACTAATGACTACTTTAAGGTAAAGTTTGAAATAAGCCTAGAGAAAGAGAAAATAACAAAAGCATGAGTTAAAAATTCGCAACCACTGAAGAAACTTTGGTGACGCTAAAAGGTTATATCAGGTGAAGAAATGCCTTAGAATATATGTCTCGCTATCTGTTCTGAAAGTGTACAGAAAGGGAGCATATTTGACTGAAGTCTCTATTCTATCAGCTAGATCTGTTCTTAATAAGATGATTCAGATCGTATTGCCATTTTTAAAATACCTAAATAAGAGATTACTTAAGTTTGCCCGAAAAATGCGCAGTCAAATAGCCTATTGTAAGCAGAAGAGTGGACTGGTGACGCTCTGAATGATGCTAAAAAATGTATGTCTAGTCACAGGCAAATCTATACATGTATATCCTTTGAATGAGAAAGGATGTAGCAATTCAGCTTAATAAAACTCCAGTTATAAATGAGAGCATAAATTATTTTGAGGATCTGATTTCTTGATACCCACTTATTTTCCCATCAATCTATAGACATAACTAACAAATTTATATAGAGTTGTGCTCTAAATAAATTGAGACCATAAACAGGCCTTAATATTCATTAATGTGGTTTGACCTTGTTTTCGCAACTCGGTCATATTGGTAGGAAGACTTAGAGGAACGCACCTAGTCCAGAGTCCATCGTATGCATCATCATTTTCCAAAGTAGGACCGTGAATGTGGGCGTGCCCAGACGTTTTTCCGGCATCGTCAGTGAGTCTCGCCATTCGCAGCACCATATTACAACTCGTAAAAGAAACAAGTGAAGCCCCTCCTTTGACCAAACGTGTGCTAAACAGTTATGGTATCTCCTCTTCTGCCCTGGCCTATTCACATTTCCTATACCCTCCTATCATGCCTACTCTATCACAATATTTTACCGTGCTTATTTTTAATGTAGTGTGGTTTGCTCCTTCGAGCGGCATTCATGAAAACCCTTTTACAATCCACACTGTCGTTATCACCCTCTTCACCCTTGTGCTGAGAATGTTGACCAGAGTATGTCATATTGTTACGTAGTCCTTCCCTGGGTCCTATCAAAGTCTCCCTCTTGCCCCGTCGAATCCGTCTGCTTGGTACATGTACCTCTGACCCCCCCATCTGTGCTATTCGAGGCGTAATTAACCCACCCCTGCGTCTGGGTGACTAATTCGAGGCCAAAGCCTCTAAGTAAGTCTCATGGTCATGCCTTTGCTACATGGACCACGTCTTTTGTAAAGCCTACTGTCAGCCAACTAGCTCCAATCGCCGCCTCGTCTATCCTGTCTCTATTCCTGTCGTCTATTCCCTATGGATAGACGAGGCGACGATTGGAGCTAGTTGGCTGACGTGATCCATGTAGCAAAGGGATGACCATGAGACTTACTCAGAGGCTTTAGCCTCGAATTAGTCACCCAGACGCAGAGGTGGGTTAATTACGCCTCGAATAGCATAGATGGGGGGGGGGCAGAGGTCGAGTGAAATACATGAACCAGGGAGATTGCAGACGGATTTGACGGGGCAAGAGGGAGACTTTGATAGCACACAGGGAAGGACTACGTAAAAATATGACAGACTCTGGTCAACATTCCCAGAACAAGGGTGAAGGGGGTGATAACGACAGTGTGGGGTGTGAAATGGTTTTCATAAATGCCGCTCGAAGGAGCACACGACACTACATTAAGAATAAGCACGGTAAAAAATTGTGACAGGGTAGGCATGATAGGAGGATATAGGAAATGTGAATAGGCCAGGGCAGAAGGGGAGATACCATAACTGTTTAGCACACGTGGTCAATTGGAGGGGCGTCACTTGCTTCTTTTACGAGTTGTAATATGGTGCTACGAATGGCGAGACTCACTGACGATGCCGGAAAAACGTCTGGGCACACCCACATTCACGGTCCTACTTTGGAAATGATGATGCATACGATGGACTCTGGACTAGGTGCGTTCCTCTAAGTCTTCCTACCAATATGACAGAGTTGCGAAAACAAGGTCAAACAACCTTTATACAACGAAAGGAGACTGCGACCACACAAAAGGCCGCACCATCTTGGTCTTCATACCTCTATTTATTATTCTAATTTTCTAGACTGCCAAGGCAGTGCAAATGCAAAAAGAAATTTCGAAATAGTTAGAGCGAGCCATCCATACTAACTGCTTAAGCAAAGAAACTTTAATTAATGATTAAATCCAGTATATTAGAAAGGCATGATAATTGAATACGTAATCATTAGATAAATACCAG